ATCTTTGACATCTATGGCAACCATTACAATAAATTTCCTGCACGATTCCTTTCACTGTAGTGTACTTTTAAATATTAAATTAACTAATGCAGACCTAGAATTTAGTATATCCAATCCATTCATAGCACAGTAACTAACAACTATCGTGTGAAATAGTCTTTATTCTATCCATAATAGTGATGAACGCCCCCTATCAAAGTAGTTAAACTTAAAAAAAAAATCAGTTAGGTACATAAAAACGTACCTTTCACAGTTTCAACATTTGCAAAATCCTTTATTTATACTCGCATGAATAATGATACCTATAACAAGATACAACAAATTTAACAAACCAACTAAATCATTCACCATATGTGTAATTTTAAACACAAAATCTTCGTAAAAATAAAAATGTAAACACATACTGTATCATAATAATTAATAATGTATAATGCGGATTTTTAAAAATGTGCATAACATTAAAGTTATAAATACATTTATACAAATTTGAAATAATTTCACTATTAACTTTGTTAATGACCATAAAATATGATGGACTCATAAAATCATATTTCTTATTTATATTGCCTATTAGTAGGTACCTACCAATAGATTATTTTGAAGTAGGTACTTACATTTGCAGATTTACAATTTATTTTAGGTCTCAAAACTTAAAATATAAAAATCTGCATCTAATATTTCTTGAAATACTTCAGTATACATTTAAAATGATTTTCCTATTCTCTAGACCTATGGAAAAAATTTTAAGATCGCATATCATAATATTATATATTTATATTCCACGAAATATTAATAATGATACTTTTTTTAATATCTACACCACTATAATTTATAATAATAGAAAATGTCACACTGTGGCAATGGCATAGATTATGATATAATTTAACTGACGTCTGTATTTACTGTTTACTATTGCATTGGTGATAAAATATAATTATTAATTGATAATATGACTAAGTCTTAGTAATTGTATTTATATTATTTATATAATTGGAAGTATAATTATGAGATAGTTAATATCAGTGATGGAAAACAAGCACAACGTAAAAAAAGTATAAAAATAATATCCACACGCACATTTGACGTTATAAAAATTTATTGAAAGGACAAAGGTGATGTTGTAGTACACGGTTCGTCTCGGTAAGCAATAAAACTAGGTATTAATAAATTAAAAAACAAACATCGTGTGTCCCATTTATTTCAAATCAATAACAGCCCATCAAAACGTACTTTATAATTTGTCACTCTAGTTAATATCGTACGCGTAGGTCTGCTGGCATATACGGTAAACGCTTTTGGCCGTCTGTCAAGTCTCACCAATACGAACTGAGCGTGTGGGGACGCACTAAAGTTTGACCGGCCGGCGCGCCTGCACGAAGGACGTCGTCGTCGTTCGGGTGTCGTCTTCGTTGTATTAATACGACTTAACCTACAGCTATATAATAGTATGTATACGATAAATAATAATAAAATAAAATATATATAGATATGACTAGTGTCCTGTGTCAGGGACGGCCCCAGAAAATCGGTTCAATGCAGGTAAAAAAAAATTCAATCTCAACCCTGGGACTAAAATATCTAATTTTTTGTACTGCACACTTCATATTAGGCCATATTTACCCACTCCCCTCACTACAGATCGCATACCTACACAAAAATATGGGATCACAGTGATCACACAACTAAACCTCCAGAGATCAGTCACACTGTATAGTCTTTTAGATTATTGTTATTTCTGCTGTACCAGCAGATGCAAATTATTATTTTTAAATTGACCATTAAAAAATTCGATCATCTTTAGTTTTAATTTATTAGTTTTTTTAAATTTAATATTATAAATATTCAAATTTTTAAATATTAACAGGAGTTATTATTATAATTTAAGATAAAATATTTAAAAAAGATCTCACAAATAAGGTAATTAATATGTGCTCTCACAAAATAGAATTTGGTTCATTCGAAATGGTTTTTTTTTGTTTAATAGGTAATTCAATTTTAATTTTAAATAATAATAACATCGATTTTTTACATTACAGTCACTGGCAGGCTAAAACTCACTTTTTAATTTCGTACTGCGCAGAATTTTAGAATTTCAGTCTAACTCGACGTGTATCGCCACTTATAATAATATGTTATTAAACTATTTTTTTTTTTTAACCAAAATCGGGCTTTTAAAAATGTTGCTTGACTCAGCCGCAACAGCACGTCCGACTTTATTATATAGACGCATAATATACTTATGTATGTGTTTTGCACATTCACCGCGAAGCGTGAATGCGTGAATACATTAATACAATAGCCTCAGCGACGTCAAAGTATTGTTTACTATGTCATATATTTGTACTTTGTGATGGTCGCTACTCACTGTAGTCGTTATTGTCGATCGGTGACATTTGGTCTAAGATTAAGTGTATTTACATTATAATGACACGTAATTCGGAGAATAATATATAATAATTAAAAATACAATATTATTGTCTTATCGTCGAAGCGTACCAGTAATCCACATTGTATCGGGCGGTCACTACTTCTACTACAACAGTACTCAAGGTCGTAACTGGGGAGTCCAGGGGTCCGGATCCCCCCACCCACGAATTTTTTAAAAATAGAACAAGAATTTTTATATTTTGAACTTAAAAATGTCCAGTATCCACATAAAAAAACTATTGGGCCTCCTCCCCAGATTTTTTTTCAGTTACGACCTTGGTTGTTCTGTGATTGTACTACGGAATACAGTGTGGTGAGTCGTCTATGTGGTAAAAAACCGACGAAACAGCCAATCACTAGATTTTTCTAGATTTTATTTTATAAGTATACGTCCGATCCGGTATACGCCAACGCTGTCACAGCGATGCACTCCCGTAGTCCCGCCCCTGTGCCGTTTTATAATAATATATATAATATGCAACTATTTTTATACTCCAAAGACCAAATTATAATCATGTATAATAATATTATGTTACGTTTAATTTACTTGTGTGTCCCACTTATGTACTATCAAAAGTGTTAAGACTGGTGGTTTAATAGTCATTTCTTCACCCTGAATGTACACAATAGTATGCAGTGTATCTGATACACTAGGTATATTAGTATTATTATACATTTATACATCCTGTACACGTGTTTTCAGGCGCTTGCGAATTGCAATGTATGCGTTTTCTAATTTTACACCAGTTTAAAAAAAAAAATAACAAAAAAGAAAAAAAACATGGGTCAAGTGATTTAAACATCTGTAATGAGTAGGAGGTATGTGTGTATACATTAATAGAAAATTGTTACAAGCTCAAATGTGGATGTACCTACCTATAATCTACAGTCAACACCTATTTTACTCTCTCGTCTTTTTTTTATCCGTCATTTACAATTCCACGAATTACTTACAGCAAAAAATATGACTCATTGTTCATATATTTGTAATACAAACTCATGGGATTATTTTATGGATGGCTAATAAACATTGATGTAACATCCATTGAAGTGCCTACCTATGACATGACTCAAGGGTCGGTGAAAAATATAAATTATTTAAAATAACGACTAGACAAAAAACTAATATTTCAGTAGATAGCAGGTATTTTTAAATTTCTCATGATGTTTATTTTTACCAGATAACTAAAAATTAAAAACTAATTTAATCTAAAGTCTAAACGAAGTTGATCTAATTTAAAATTTAAAATCTAATGATTTAACAACCTATTAAAATATAACTTTTAAAAACGTTTCAATCAAGATTAACCCCCTCAAAATTGTACATAAATCCTTCTATTAAAAGTTTAAAATATTAATACTGATAGTAGATAAAAGGTACCTATAATGTGTAATGATTAATTTCTATCGCTTTACATGGAACTCAGCATGTGTTTTGTTCATCTAAACTTCCAATAACTCACGATAAATTGATTTGATTAATTGGTATTTGGTGATGGCTGTTTAAGATAATAATTAAATGATTATTAGATTTCAAGTGTTCCAATGAATGTATATTTTCTTATTTCCCATGGTTTCACAAACTGAAGGGGAACAGCTTGGCCATTACTACCTCGTCAGCAGTATCATTTATTTTAGATAAATCAACAATACAATCTAACAAGTTTCCAAATATAAAGTCAAAGTGTCAAACCCAGTGGCGCACTGGCGGTCACCAATTCATGTATTGGTTTTACAATCTTGATTTTTTTTGTCAGTAGGCACTTTTTATAGTAAAAAAATGCTTAATTCTTCTTGATGGGGAATTGGATTTAGTTGATACTATGGAAGGTCAAATGTAAAATATTATCTGCAGTAACATTCGAAATAATTGGGATAAACAAAAAAAAATAAGGAAAATGAGTATTGTACAGACCTTGACATTTTCACCGAATATTCATATTAGTATTTAGTATTTACCATAGGCATAAAATAAATTCAAAATATTTTGGCTCATTAGTAACTATTTACCGATTTCACATAGTATCATCTGTTCAATTTGTGAGATTTCCTTTATTTATGTTGTACATAATTGTTTACCACTTAAAGTGTCTTTTACATATTTAAACAACATCGAAACATTCGTTCTTTTCAACAATTACAATATCTGGTTTATACAATTATTTCTTATTCATATAGGTAACTAATAACTACCAACTAAAATAATAATTCACATGACTATTTATACTCAAGTGATCACTTGTGTGTCAAGTTCTTATTTATTATTAATTGTAATAATACTAAGACTATAAACACTTCTAAACTTATTTTTTTAAACATATACCTAAAGGAATTATTGTTTGTTATTATTATTTCTTGAAGAGCAGCGCTGTAGCGCCCAGTTCTTATTTATGTACAGTATACGCCTAATTAATTTTTAATTAAATAGATATTGAAGCGATTGGAACAATTCTCCACTCTATATAAGAATAACTAATACAGTATGCTTCTGTGTACATATTAACTGAAAATGAACAAAATCATAATTATAATCTATGAAATACAATAAACAATATTATTTTTTTTTTTATCAGGAAAGTCGACTCTTGAGGCAGTTAAAAGCATGTGGCGATTAGCATAAGAAAAAAAATGACGACTTATAAAAAGCACAAGAGAACCCACAGTAATCAACAAACTATAGAACCATACTATTATATTAGATATCTATTTATATTTGTCACAACATTAGGTAAGATTAAAATACCCATTGCTTAGCCTTATGTTCTACTATTTTTTCAATGAGGTTTTTTTTATATTTTATTTAGCGTCAGTGACGGTGTATCACATTCATCAAGAGATAGTAAGGCCAAAACTCGAACATTTGGTGGTTTACGAAGTAAGTTGCAACTAAATCAATGCATGTATATGATAAAATATATAATATTAGTAAAGTATGTTCTTAAAAAGCAATAACGTGTAAATGTTATAGAATTTAACTGATCGTGACCCAAGAGTTACTTGTCAGTTCCCTATACTTAACCCGTTTGATTCATCCATTCTCAAATACGTGTTCGTTCCCAAACCTATAAAGTGAGTACCATACATATGGGCTATAGGTGTAGTTAAAATTAAGATTATTCAATAATTTGATCACTTATTTACTTGTTTAGATGTATGGAAAGGTCTTATCGTTTGACTTACATCAACATGAGCACAGGGTTTTTACAATTCAACGCTTCAGGATTCGAAGAGTCAGGTTATTCCTTGACCTCAAATACGCTCCGTTGTTACTATCAAGAAATTAATCGTCCAGTCGATGATGATTTCCGTTTAGAATACGGACCACAAATTCCCATCACTGGTTTTCACGAGCCTCTTACGGATTTCATATTTGTATCATGCACCAATTTATTTGGCATTACTGTGTATAGTAACTTTCATGCATATGCTAGAAGAAGGCCGGAAGTTAGGAAATTTAAAGTAATATTAAAAATAACTCAAGAAAATTATCTTAAATCAATGGATAATAATAATATTTTATTAATAGGACGATATGGAACTAGGTGTCGCAGTGATTGGAATCGATTCTATTTCACGATTAAACTTTATGAGACAAATGGTGAAATCATATAATTTCATTAACAAAGAAATGAATGGTGACGTGATGCACGGTTTCACCAAGGTGGGTGAAAACACATTCCCAAATGTGATACCGATGTTAACAGGCCGATCATTCATAACGGAACATAATAATAAGTTTGACGTACGTGAACAATATTATATACTCAATGTTTATTACTTTAATATTATCAAACAAAGCGTAATAAATAATAACAATAACTATAATGCAGTATCTTGTAATGTCTGTAACAGTGTTTCTTATGTTTGTGTACATACAGGACTGGCCTTACATATGGAAAGACTTTAGTGAAGAAGGTGCCGCGACTCTATATGCCGAGGACCAGCCAGAATTCAACATGTTTGACTATTTAGCTAAAGGAATTACTTTACAGCCAACTCTACATTACATGCGCCCATACTGGTTAGCTGTGGAACAGTCGATTCTATATAAGATGAGCTCGCCTGGTTGTCTTGGACCAACGCCTAAACACCTTATCTATTTCGACTATTTGAAATCATTCCTAAAAGTCTATAAAGACTCTCCACTTTTCTTGTTCTCGCTTTTTAACGAAGTTAGTCATGACTTTGTCAATACTGTCGGAGTAAGTGGATTTTAAAAGAATGATTAAAATTAACAATATTTAAAATTAATCAATCTTGCTTTTATTTCTAACAGGTTATCGATTTAGATTATATGAATTTCCTCAAGACTTCTCTCCACGAAGGGCTTTTTAACCGAACTGTTATTTTTGTGCTCGGTGATCATGGAAACCGTATGGATTTCATTCGGCGAACCAAAGTTGGAACCATAGAAGACCGGATGCCAATGGTCACCGTTATACTTCCAGAGTGGGTAAGCATGAATTATCCATCCTGGAAAGAATCCCTCCGTGACAACCGTATGAGACTGACATCTACCTATGATATTTATGCTACATTCAGACATATATTAAGTACATTGAATAATCAAAACAAATCAACTGAAATCAAACAACACTTACTAAATAGTATTCAAGACGAAAACGTTAAGAATCATTTTTCAGCTACTAGTACGGGTCTATCATTTTTTGAACCAGTTCCATTAGTTAGAGATTGCAATGCCGCCGGTGTTGCTCAATGGCTGTGTGTTTGCAACGAAGGTCGACAAAAGCGACTTGATCCAGAACACCCATACAGCCTTGCAGCATCAAATGAAGTCATAAGGTTAGATTTTCATATTATTAAAATATTAACTAAAATACTAAATACATAAAAATTTGAAATTTAGATACATAGGTAGGTACTTAGAAAAAAAATATCGATATAAAATATGTTTTTATTGAGTGTTCATACGTTCTGTTTTATTTTATGGATTATTATGTAAACCTATACAACAATTATTTAGATATAAATGTATTTTAAAATTTTTTATTTTTATTTTCACAAATATTTATAAAATAAAATAATTTAGTGTGTACATAATATTAAAGATATATTATGTCGATGCAATGAACTAAATTTAATACATTTAACCTAAATATATTCATAATTCAATTTCTTAGGTATTTTAATGAACTATTGGGTGGTCTTGAAAATTGTGCTGAAATGAAATTGGCTTTTATTGAACATACATACTTGTACGAAGCACCGCAAAAATACGACGATGGTAAAGTGTACGACAAATCTGTTCAAATAACATTCAAAGCCTCACCAGGTAATGGATACTTCGAAGCCACACTTGGTATAGAAATAAATAACGGATCCCAAACTTTTGAAGTCATTGGGCAGGTCTTTAGAATTAACAAGTACGGACATCAAGCAGACTGTTTGCCCAGAAAAATGCTCGCTAAAATGCCAATTTTGAAAGGAATTTGTTATTGTGATTAAATAATTTATAAATGTACATTATATTACGAAGTATTAACTATTGTATTACTCAACTGTACATACAAGTATTGTTAATTGTTAAATTATGAAAATGACTGAAAAATTTAGTTTAATTAATCTATGTAAAATTTAGATATACACTTAATATATTGCCCATGTAAACTATAAATATATTTCAAATAAAATATATAATATTGTTTTTAGTGAAATTATTATGATAACACCTTGTCAATTTAATGTGTTGATAAAATTTTAATTATAATGTGTAATTTTTAATACAATTTTGTACCTATTTACCATAGAGGTATCCAATATTATTGTGATTTAGTTTTCTCAGGATCTAATAGTTAAGTGTAATTGGAGATTTATTTATTTTTATATTATATTAATTAAGTTACATACAAACTTATACTCCTACACAGTATTTATATTTTATACGTTATACCTTCAGGTAAATAATTACCTCAGATAAATATTATTCTCAATACCGAAAATTGATCACAAATATTGTTAGTACCTATTTAAGTATTTATTTTTATACATTTGTTCTTATAATTAATAGACGACTGTATAAAATATAATGTGGGCATTACTATATTGTACCTATATTTTTTTACAAAATTATGTTGGGTGCTCCCTTCTATTTCCGTCTTTAATAATATATTTATATTTATTGAATTATTAATAGCTTATTAATTTTAAACTTGTAATTAGCCATTACTATTTGCTGCAGTTGTTTCAATACGTTTTGTATAGTGTATACACTATACATGTATGATGTGCCCATACTATAGTGATAATATTTTATATTATAGATGTCTTAATATGTGGAGCAAATTAGCGACGATATAATATACTCTCTTATATAAGATAAAATATAATACATTTATTTATACATACTATACGTACGTAGGGCAACTACAAACGTGTCATTTCTAAGGAGTTATGTTTAGGCAAATCGTTCGTTCCTTGCAGTTACTATTCGTCGTCTTTATGTGTATAGTAAATGATCATTGGTGTGTTTATTCTTCTAGTCGATCACCCGCATTATGCATTTTACGCAGCCACATGTACATGCCATTTATTTTAGTCATTATATCAGAATATTCAAAATCAATTTATCGACATGAAATAGCTATACTCCTGACAACGATTTAAGTACCTTTTTCCAAACGACTGATTTAAAAAATGTAAAGATGTTTGAATGCATAAACAAGTTTACTTTGCATCGGTTGGAGCACTTATTCAATTTTAGCATATTATTGACGGTAAAACACATTTTCAATTGTTTGTATTACCTAAATATTTTTTAAATATTAAATACATGGTCCAACCGATACAAAGTAAACTTCTTTATCAGATCAAAATAGTTTACAGATATCTTTCAAATCGAATCACTAGCAGTATATTATTTTTTGTCAGTCCTTAATGCCCAATTTATGAAAAATTGACAGGGTTCGTAGGATCCTTAAAGCGATTCGATCCAGACAGTTTTTAAGGAGTTCAATATTGGTAATTATCTGTGTATGTTCAAGCCGTGCAGGTTGTGTAATTGTGTACGCAATAAAATTTAATGATCATTAGTGTGAGTGACTATGTATAAAATAAATAGCAGAGCACTCCACGTACATATCAATAACAAATTACCCAATTAGTATTCATTATTTTGTTGTTTTTTTTTTTTGGTCATAAGTATCTTTTGCCAATCATATTAACTAACCTAATCATCCAATAAAATTTCTGAAAAAATAATTTGAATTTGTCATAAAATGTACATGGAAATAACTATCTTACATTTTTAAATTAATTTTTCGACTTGAATAAATATTAATTATTGCTAAAATTTTAAAATCTTAATATTCAAAATTTAAAAATCTTATTTTGAAGGGCTAATGAATTCAATTTCAAAAAGTAGCAAAACCACTATAAAGAAAACTTCATGACGAATTCAAGTATGATTTCATAAGTTTTATACTTCTATCCGATAACTAGGAATTCGGATAGACAGTGCAGTTGGCACAAGATATATCTATTTTTGTAGAAAACAGAGACGGTATCGAATACAAACTAGGTTTAATAATTAAGGCTAGCTATATAATAGAGAAGAGTGGTTTTTTGTTAACGTTAGATGCTTAAAAATGTCTTGCTGATTGTTACCAAGGGTTCAAAGATCTCTGCAAATAGGGGTTGAAGTGAAGGGACGAAGGAAGATTTGGTCCCCCTATCTCTGACGGTGATTAAAAATCGTCCCCTTTAACGTCCCATTTACAAATGTAGTATTATTTGTGATTTAAATTTTACATGAAATAAATTACAAACTTGAACATGATCGTGGTTAAAAGTGAGATGACTGATGAGTATGTTAACACAATCACTGTTTATAAATTGTATATACATTAGACCAGCGATTCTCAACCGGGAGGTCGCCAACAATCATTTTAGAGTCGTCAATCCATGTGGGAAAAAAATTGTTTCACTTAGAATCTTATAATTAATAGTAAGTGTTAATGTGTTATAATATGTATATATATATATTTGGATAGTCCGATAGTCGATAAAAACGTTCATTGAAGTGTACCTACATAATATACCTTTTTTTGTGAAATATATATACACAAATAAATACAATAATAACAGTTGGTTCAATTTTTTAATACTTACATTATAAAAGGGTCGTTGGACATCTTGGTGACATTATAGGGGGTCGCGAACTCAAAAAGGTTGAGAACTGTTGCATTAGACATTATACATAAAATGATATATAAAAAGCTTCAAACTATATACATGTATACATTGTTCCCCTGGAATTTGTACCACTTTAAGCATTGATGCAAACTTGTCATTTTTAAGGAATTGTGTTTAGGCAATTTGTGGCCATTACTCGTCTTTGTTAGTGTATAGTAAATGATCATAAGTATAAACAAAGTACAGATCAAAGTTTACTTTGCATCAATCTGAGCACTTTTATTCAATTTTTTACGGGAATACAATTTTAAATTTGATCAACTTTTAAATTTTTATACTAAATGTATTAAAAGCAATTAAAAATATATATGCTCCGATCGATGCAAAGTAAATTTCTTATCAACTTAAAAATGTTTACTTTTTTTTATCAAACCACTAAAAGTACTTTAATATTTATATTTGTCAGTCACTAAGGTTTTTTTAATGAAAAATGCATAGGATTTGCAAGGTCCTTAAATAAATATAGGAACAATTTTAATTAATACTAAGTTTTAAAAATATTTTAACACGTCCGAGCCATTTAAAGATTCATGTAAATGTCTCAAGTGTTTAAATTTTTTGGTTCTTATTGAACTTTATGCTCAAATGATTTTTTTTTTAATAAGCTTGAATTTGTTAAAATCTCAAAAATGTATTAACTATTTTGTAGTTAAAAATTAATTTTTAATTTTAATACATGAAGGTTAAGAATTTGCCTACTGGCTATTACATGTTTTCTCATTAGTTTTCCTAACACAAATTGAAACAAAAGTTTAGGTTGAATTTTAATTTTTTACAAGATTCGTTAAAATCACCAATATTTTGTTGGCACTTTAGTGCATGACACTTCACTTGTCACAAGTTACTATGCAGTGGTCAGTGGAACGACATTATCGGTTTTCTTATATTATTTAATTCACTTAATTAAAACTTTAAAAGAAACTATTTTAGCTTAAAATGGTAAATTCTGCTGTATAGTAGGTTTCAAGTTACAAGTGGTTACCCACTGTAATAAATTGTGTTTAATTTGAATTCAAAGATATAAAATCATTGTATACGAAAAACGATTCTGAGCGAAGATGGTCTGTTAGCCTAATATATTATTTAGTAGTTAATTTAGTATATTTGAGAACATATTATTTATGTAATTTATTTTACTATTAAGCATTAGTATACAACAGTATAAGTTAAATTCATTTTATCCCAAAAAAATTAAATTGGAAAAGTCAGTGTCTATATCAAATATAATAATGTACTCAAAAAGTTTCAAGATCCGACTACTGATATTTTTAAATTACAAAGAAATAACTTAAATTACTATTCTTGATTATTTAAAATGCGATTTCGTCCAAATTTGAACATAAAAGAACTATAAAAGAAACCATGTTTATATATTTTTCAGATTTTTTGGTCACAGAATTTAGTATTTGTGTAGGTACAACTTTGTTTTAAATTGTTGATCCTTAGCTATAAAAGTTGAACATTTTATAAATATTTAACAGCAAAATTTATCTTCTATATAATTTAATACATTTTGTCAGAATTTGAACTTTAAATGCTTATAAAACAAAATTGTACCTATATATTTTTAATATTTTTCAATTTCTATTGTAACAATATCAGGAGGTCTGGATTACATGTTCAGGCTTTTTGACTCAACAAATAAAATTTAATTGACATTCATAAAAATGAAAAATTTTAAAATTTAAAATATCCGTAAGCAACTCAAAAGGAGTAAAATATTTTGAAAAATTTTCAAATATAACTAAGAATTGATAAGATAAACATTATATTATGGTATAAATTTAAAGAATCTAGCTACATTTATTCGTTTTGAATTACAACAAAATAAGATCGTTCAATAAGAAATCGAGTTTGAATACAAATTAAATTTGACTTTCGGGTGGACATTTTTTTGATAAAGATGAGGAATCTTGTATTCAATTTTCAAATCTTAGATTTAAAAGGAAACATTTTCATGAATTTCTAACTCAAAATAATTTGCTATTTCTCGTGATTTTTATGTATTATATAAAAATTTGAAATTCAGACGCTCATAAAAAATTGTGGATTTACAACTTTTTTTTTTAATTTCCACTAACAACAACTAACGAAGAACTTTGTATTACATTTTCGAGTTTTTTGACAGCGCAAACATTTTTTTGTCGATATTAATTCAAAAAAACTAATAATAATCGAAAATATCATATACCTATAAATTATAAATTGTTTAACATAAGTCAAAATATTTTTAAAATTATAAGGGGTGTAGAAAATGTTAATATATACATTTAGTGAAAGTTTCATGTATCTGCGGTCACTTGTTTTAGAGTTTAGAAATCAAAATCAATTTCGCGTAAAAATTCTCTTTCTCCTTAAATATTTTGTTTGTTTTTCCATGTGCTTTGGAAATTACAGAGATTTTTAAATTTTGACCTCCCAAATGAACAAACTAGATTAAATTTCTCATCGGAATAGATACTGATGTTGAAAATCGAAGCTTTATTTTGACTACTTATCGTGTACAGTGTACACAGGCACAAATAAAAATTAATTAATTAATAAACACACATCATTATAAAATTAATAAGTTCATCGCTCAGCTCAGAACTTAAAATATGAATCTATAATTATTAATTTATGTATTTTATTAATTTATTATTCATAATCAATGCCTATTCATGTAATGTAGGTTTTATTAGATGTCAGTTTGTGGTATGAGTATCGGTTTTGTTTAAATATTGGTTCACGTTCATAGTTTTCACCGAAAATAAAAAATTGTAATTATATCGGTAGCATAATCAGAAAAAGTGGTAAGTATAGGCTGTATTAAAAAATTATCCCTATGGAATCAATATTCCTAATATTTTCATTTTTCACTGAATAAGACAAACTTATTGTACAATATACTTATGCACGTTATAATAAACATGAAGGTGTAATAATATATACTTTGAAATAGTTAATACAGCGATGTCCATTCAAGCACTTCACGAAATTTGTTCTCTTTGACATTTAGATTAGAACACATGCCTCTACTATAAATAGGTTTTGACAGCAGTAGAGTTTGACTTTTACAATTAGCCGGTATACGGGAACAACTAATCTGACCAATAATTCATATACAAGAACAATATTTAGTGTCGATGTTTATTTTATGTACTATATAGTATAACAACTAAACTCTTTCCATTATTTTCGTTTAATTTATAGTAATATTTAAATTATTAGTTGTAAATAATAAATTCCCAAATTAGATTGGCATAGCTAAAATAAATATGGCTAAATTCAATAGGAAACTTCAAGTTACGGTAAGGCCACAGAAGAGACCAAATTTACCTAAAGCTGCAGTTAACATTTTAACTAGATGGCTTGAAGAAAATTGTACCAATCCATATCCATCCGAGTCAACGAAGAAAATTTTGATGGAAGTTACAAATCTTACTAAAAATCAAGTAGGTATACTTGATATAGTTTATATGAATATACATAATAAATAAATTCTACTACTTTTTTTAATACTACAATATAATATATTATCTTGAATATTAATGATGTGTTTAAAAAATGTCCTAATCATATAGATTTACAATTGGTTCATTAATAGTCGTCGGAGAATACTTCCAAACATTTTAAAGGAAAAGGATATAGACAAAAGTCTAATACTATTGAAAATTAAAAAGTTCACGTGTTTCACTCGTAACAGTTTTGCTCACCATTTTGAAAAGAAAACTCAATGGTATGAATAATGCCTTTAAATAGTTTAAAACAAACCTACATAGTGTTTATCTATAGTGATTTAATGTAAAAGTGCGTAGGAGCTAACAAGTAGTAATAACTATAATGACTTAAAGTAATAAGGCGTATAAACTATAAATATTTTGTATTTTAAATATCTCTTAAAATAATATTTATAGACATAGGAAGACAGGCAATTGGTTTCGGAAGTTAGAACACAAGTGTAGAACCTCCTTCAAAACTATAATTTCTCTTCATGTATGAAATTTATAATTAAATTTTAGATTCTGAGAAGAGCGATAAATATATTGGCTGTACAACGATGTGTGTTTTATTTGAGTTTATGGACATTATGTCATCACATTTTAAATCAGAAAATAATCTGATAAATTTTCAACTTTGAGGGTTATTTCTAGTAGAAAATTTGATCTAGTTGATATTTTAGGGGATCGGAAATTCCCAGTACTTTTCAAAATAATCTGGAAAACGAAAAAAAATCCTTTTTCGACAAAATCGATTTAAACTTATTTTGTTGTGATTTAAAAACAAATAACCATAGATATTTTAAATATTTTAGATTATTTCTTAGAGATTAGGTACCTATTTATAATTTATTTTATACTGTATTTGGCTTATTGCTTTATATAGTAAAATAAGCTACCATACAAATTAATAGCAATGTAAATATATGATAATATATATTAATATACACTTAGTAATATAAGCTAAAGAGGGACAGACCACCTCCGCTCAGAATCGTTTTTTGAATACATTTATTGAGGAAATAAGACCTGATAACAACAATATTAGCTATACGCTATAGGCCTACAACCTCTTTAATTATAACTGATTGTCTGAATTAGTCATTTTATTAGTTTTTTCTTAATACAATTATCACCTACTCATAATATTATATTCTTCATTTATAAGTTGTATGTTCATAGCTTACAACTTATTTAATTTTAAATTATTAAAAATATATTTGCAGTGATCTTTATTGTGCATATTTTTAACTACAATATAGCCATTAGGAAATGTAAAATTTTAATTTTTAATATGGAATTTAGTTACCATTCATCACTAAATAACCTAATTCTTATTTTTTTTAAATCATCGCAGTACGTATAGATTTAATATTATACCTGCTATTTAGTTACTTTATTTTTCATTTTATCATGTTTCAATGGAGAGATATACATTTAATACAATTTATTATTACTTTATTAATATATAAAATACGGGCATGCAACTAAATATTAAAATAGTTATGTTACTTAATCAAAAAAATCAATCAGAAGCTATATGAAGTGTTTATCTATAGACTTTATTTTTTTAGCAAAACCGAAAAAAAAATGGTCGAATCAGAACCTAATATTGAACCCAAAAACGAAGATTACAATTTGCAATTACTAGCAGAAGTGGCTACTAAATTGCCACGAATCTCATGTACATCATAATAATATATATTTAGGTATACATTATTTTTTATGTACGGTTAGTCAATAGGGTCATATTATAAGCATTTATTTGTTTTTAATTATAAGTGTATTTGTTAAGTACAATAAATTAATTACCTATACGATTGTTACCTTATTAGTTAATATTTATAGATAATATTGGTACCTATCTTAGTATCTTTGTATAACAGTTTTTCTGATACATCAATAAATGTACCTACCTACTGTGAGATAATATAAAATAGAATATAATACTTATTGCATATTATATTATTATATCATAATAATGTACAAATATTAATATAGTTCAAATGCATTGGTAAAGGAAATAATAAGAATTTATTTATCTACAGAGGAAACTAATATTTTATCGTAATTAATTATTTTAATTTATGGGCCATTAAACCTAAATATGAAAAATGTATGTTTATGCAATAAATAATAATAATACATAGTGACTTTATAACGTTTTTTTTTATTGTTATTATTATTTATATTTGTTATTGTTATTATTAAATTATAATTTATATTAGTTATATAATAAGTTTAAAAGACACATTGTTGTTCTACACTTCTAATTTCTACAGTTCTATAATCCATCGTGTATTCGTCATTAGCTGCCTATGGCTGGTATCTGGTGATGTGTAGTCAGCAACACGCAGCGGAAACGATTTCTCAATAACCTAGCTGGTTACTGGTTTGAAGATGAAAATCAGTTTTTTTTTTTTAAACATATAGGGCACAAGAACATTATCATGAATGTATAGATCATAATTCATAAGTATTAAGTACACATATGTAATTATGTAAACCGATAACACAAATTAAATTATACAAAATATAGTAATATATATCAAATTATAAATCTATAAATAATGCTGTACCTATCATAAATTTGGCCTTCAGTATTTTTGTATGAATGGTAGTAACTATGGTAGATGCTGTTTGTGTTTACCGTTCATAAATATATGACTACATCATACTCTATAGATTATAGAATACATATGTCTATAATGAAATCAAATTCGCTCCAATCAATCATAAATTCATAAATTGATTACTATTACGATTTAAAATTAAAAAAACTATTGTGCAAAAAAAATACCAACACGCCATTTATGGAAATTAAAATATTCCAATAAATAACGATTATTTGTATGTTTAAATCATGTATATGGTACTACCATACTAGATAGCTATAATATACTTAAAAAAATATTTTATATGTACCGCCTACATATGTTATTATCTAGTATAACTACTTAACAAAAAGGAATAAGAAATATTTTTATAGGTACGATGATGCTTCCATAGTAGTGTACCTGTATACTTGTATACTTGTAAGTTGTATTTATGTATGATGAAATAGTTGAAGCCTTGAAGTCTGAATAACTGTATCAACATCTTCTATTCTTCTCGATAGCAATGAAGGTATAGAACCATCATAGACTTACATTTTAAATACCTATATACCTACCTAATAATAATACATTCAGATTTAAGTCCATATAAGTGAAATATGAATATAATATAACGATTAACATTTGAAGTATATTTATTTTTTTTTTATATCTCCTGGTTTGTGGAAGTGGAAGTGGAAGTGTAGGAATTGCGGAAAAAATCTCTTAACGGCGGTTAAACTTTCGGCATTTTTAACATACAATTTTTGTAGTATTTTTATATTCCATTTAGGTGATATTATTATAATTTAGGTACTGTAAGCTTTACAAAATTATTCTTTTAAATTATTAATATTTAATTAAACTTGACATGCCCCTATGCATTATTACCCTAATTTTCATAAGTACTGGAGATTTTTTTTCCAATTACCATAGTGTAGAGTACCTACTATACAAACAAATAAATATACGTTTAGAGTGTAGTCGTGTTCGTGTAGACCATATGTTATAGACTATGGTTAAATAGTTTATACCTATAATAGGCTATAATAGCTATTAGGTACCTACATAAGTTATTACTTATTCAGTTATATAGGTACACAGCCCATCTACAGTCAGCCGTGGTGATGAATAACATTGTTCTGTGATAAGACCATTATTATAAATACATCAGCTGTGGTTTATTACTATATTCAGATAACTTGATGAATGATAACACACTTCAAAACTAGAAAAAGTAAATATTATTGTATTCTATTATTTTATTCATAGTATACTATGATTTTATTATTATTCAAACTTAATTTTTTTCTTTTGTTCTTAGTGATCATTGATCGTACCGTAGACCTCATCAAACAGTAGTTTTTTGTGAATACCTTGACGTAATTGAATATGGAATTATCAAAACAGTTATTCACACATTTTAAACAAATTTATTATTCAATGACAATACTAAAAAATTACTAAATATTTCATTTAAATATTCGTTTTGATTCATTAAAATGTGGAAACCAATACTTGTCGTTATATTTGGGCTGGCATCAGTGTGGAGTGAACTAATCAGTGGAAAATATGCAAGTTACAAGTCAAATGATCTTATACCCATTGTCTTGAAGGGAAATTACTCACAAAATTACCCAACAATTATCAACAACACTCTTTCATATTTGTTTCTTTATGATTACATGCCGGTAAACGTATTAATTATCTAATTTTATTATTTGGAAATTATATTTTAATTTTATTATTTATTTAATAGAATTCAACGTTTCAGCCACCAAGAGTTAAAGTCACATTAGTAGAGCCAGAAAATAATGACATTATAGATCCTTTAATAGTTGTTGTAAGACACCGCTCAGGAGTGATATCATGGCAACTGCCGTTCATTGAAAAACAACAAGAAATAAAGTATGAACTATGAGTTATACCACTACCTATATCTACAGGAAAATAAATTAGAAATCCAGCTATAAGATAATATTTCAATCCAAATCATATTTTTGAAAAATGTCTGTAGATTATTTTGTCATTTAACTATCTAGAATATCATATTTTTCTGACTTTCATGCTCTATTTATGATACCCAATATACTAATTTACAAATAACTATTCAACAACTAAACTGTTGGATTTTTTTAGATATTACAAAGCCGCTCATATACTGTGTCCGTTACTAAGTGCTTCCAACAATGAAAGTGGAATAGTTGTAAGTGTATCAACTAACAGTCCAATAAATAACACATTCATTTTACGTTTGGATGTTCAAAAATCATTTAATGTATTGTAAGTATTATTATTTATTATATTATGTCATTAAAATATATAAAATATCCTTCATTTATTAAATTAAAATTGTTAAGATTAAATCAAGAAGTATCATTCAGCCTATCACCATCGGAACCAGTATATTATTATTATAGTTTTAAACAAAATGCTTCTATGGTATTACTTCATGTTATGTCAGATGACACCATGTGTATGACATTGTCAATACAAAATTCATCGGTATGAATAAAATAATTATGTATCCAAAATATACACAACATATAAACAATTATTTATATTTTTAGTGTCCAGTTTTTGACTCTCTAGAAACAGTTCAATATGATGGTTTACGACAAACTGTCAGCAAAACTGGTGGTATTATTATATCGGTATGTTTATGTTTTTTAGTTTTATATTTAATGTATGTAATAGTTATACTAATATGTGTATAATTAAAGAAAAGTAAACTAATAATAATGATTATAAAGAAATCATTTTGGTGATCTCCTAAAAGAGTATTATTATTATTATTATTTATCAAATAATAGTATTGATTGTTTTGATGTATTATCACGAGTCACCAACCAAATTGTATTAATGGCTTGAAAAATGTCACCGTTTTAATTATCTTAGGTACTTAAAATAATAATTACTTTTAAGTATTTAAAGACTTATTACTTTTAGGCTTGTGCGAGGCATACTTTAATGTAATAAATATGTGTAAATCTAATTTTTAATAATATTAATATTATTTTGTAGAAAGATGAGTACCCGCTTGGACTGTTTATAGTCTTTGTAGTTCATAGTGATAATTCAGCATGTCATCGAGGAAACTATCAAGCCACCAATTCCAGAACAAAACATATACGTTTTGTGGTTAAACCAACTGTTGATTTTAATTACCAAATAATCAATTGCTTAATAGTAATTTTTATTTTTATTTCTATTTTGGTATTTACCACATTTTTTTATCATGCTAAAAGGTGAGTTTATTGTACTTTAATTTAAATTAAGATTTAAAATGTAAAATATATAATTTTATTTTCAATATAGAGATGATCTGAAAACAATTGTTATCACTCAAGAAGAACCGTCAACTAGTATTTGTTCAACCCCTGTTAATAGTAAGAATAACATTTTAGAATTTAGAATATTTAATTTAATATACAAAGTGGGTCCAATAAGCTGCGAACATTGTTGTAACTGAATTATTATATGCTACAAAGCTCTTACGAGTTATAAATAAATATATAGTTATATTCGTAGGTTTATTTATGTGTTTGATTACTCTTGGAATGCCTTAACCTGCAAATGTAATTTAACTCAAAACTAATTTTTTTAATTTTTTATGTAGTGGGGAGCTAATTTTAATTAATGTACTTCCCAAAAAATTGGCCAAATCTGAGAAATTGTTTTAAATTTGCCTATGATTAATATTAGTGATATTAGTGAAATTCAAATTTAGGTTTGAGTAGAGAAAAAAATTAACGGTATTTTTTTAACCTATAAATTAAACGAGGATAATACTTTTGAGACATTATTTCCCAAACATTTTTAAAAAAACAACTAAGAATTACACTTATTTATAACATTAAAAAAAATTTTTTTTTATAAACTAAGATCTGTAATCAATATTAATCATCATTATTATCCAGTACATATAATAAATTATCTGGAAGTCAAAAGTTATGAGAAAAATAGGTAAATAATAAATACAACATTGCTTAATCATTGCCATACCTTCCATAAGTATACATTATTATAGTTTTATTTAGATTTTTATTCATTAAGGGAGTTTACCTATGATATTAAATAATTTCAAACAATTTTATTGTCTCTGAATTGTTAAATTATGTTAATTTTAATATTTTTTAGTTCAACCT